GGGGGGGGGGGTTGCATATAGCATTCTATATCATAAAAATAAAAAAAGAAAGAGGTAGAGCAGAAATGTGTTTGGAAGAATTGCTAAGCACATTTGGGATTAGAATGTTGGGAAATATATTTATGGGTTGGTTGAAGGATGTAAGGTGTACGACCTTAACTATTGTATATTTGCTTCAGTTCATCTAAACTATCTCATTAGGATCAGAAAAGGATAATGACCAGGAGTGCGGACATCTGATTCACTCTCATTTTCTGCTTACCATAGTAATTTGCTCAATGTCAAAGAAAGATTCATTTGTTCTGAGGATCAAAAGAGAGATGAATCATAATAAAATGATGGATAAATTAGAAACTATGTTTTGGAGGATTTCAACTTTCAACTGGAGTTCACCATATATGGAAGCATATTGTTTCCTAGATTTAGGGGTTTACGCCTCGGATGGCAGATCACTACTCTGATTTTGAGAAGCAGAAATCTGTATCTTTTTGTGAATCAACTCCTGATTTATCTAGTTTTATGTTTTGGAAAGTTGCAGGAATGATATGTTAGAGGGGAGACCATTCGGCATTGTTCTGTTTCCTTTGTGTTGCTTCTGTAACTTCTTTATTTTTTGCCCTTATGCAGTAAACTTGTCATTGTCTATGTAAAGAGTGTTTCTTGTACTTTTCATACATCAATTACAGTCAACTTATGAGTCAAAGCTATAGCACAGTGGCTATTGTTCTTTTAGAAACTCCATTCACTTATGTAATTAACTAGGTCTATTACAATGAGATCACAATTATCTTTATTATTATTAACTTATAGTTGTATACTTTCACATGTAAATTACCATATGTAACTTAGTGCTGCTTCTTACGTTACCGAAAACATGTAACTGAGAGCCTGTTGTATGCCCAATAGCTTCTTGGCAGGAGTAGCGGTTTTCAAGTGGCTGCAACTCATCGGCCATGCACAAAAGGTATTTGGCTGTGGAGTTCACCTTTAAGGAGAACAGCTCTTGATGGAACAGAATACAACCTGTTACTGCTGGACACAGAAGGAATTGATGCTTATGATCAAACAGTTAGTTTCCACCCTTTTAACATATTTATTATTGGTTTTCTGAAGGAGGATACTAACCTAGCACATGCTATATGGCTTTTATATTACATTGTTATACATTTTGTATTGCTAAACTTTTCACTAAATAAAGGAACTAGTTCTATAACCCCAGAACATTTTTTCCTTTGTCCTTCCTATCCTTCCTGTCACTGACTTTTGCCTTTTATAAATTTCTGTTTTGTTTTGCTGTTTGACAGGGAACATATAGCACACAGATATTCTCCTTGGCGGTCCTTCTTTCAAGTATGTTTGTATATAACCAGGTTAGGAGCACACAAACTTGGATCTCGTTTGCTTTTTTTTTTTATATGCCATTTTTACCCCTTTTCCCTCACGTTTCAGTGAATTTCCTTGTTGCTACAGTCAGTTTGTTTTTTGGGTGTCCTGATAATCTCTTTAATTCTTCAATTTAGATGGGAGGTATCGACGAAGCTGCGCTTGACCGCCTCTCTCTTGTCACTGAAATGACTAGACATATTCGTGTTAGAGCTTCTGGAGGAAGGGCCAGTGCTTCCGAGCTTGGGCAGTTCTCCCCAGTCTTCGTTTGGTTGCTTAGGGTACTTCAGAATTCATTTATTATCACTGTAGATTTTCTTCTGTTCTTGCCTGTGAAACTATTAAAATACAATTTTTCTTTTATGCAAAAGGATTTTTATTTGGATTTGGTCGAGGACAACCGCAGAATAACTCCACGGGACTACCTTGAACTTGCTTTGAGGCCAGTTCAAGGTGGTGGGAAAGATGTTGCTGCTAAAAACGAGGTATTCACTTTACATGAATGTTTCGTTTGCTTTACTATGCTGTAATTATTCAATTTCTATTGTAACTACCCCTGTTTTAGAAACTGGTTTCCTGAACTTGCACATGTTTTACTAAAAATAAAAAGAACTTGTTCATGTTTTTATGTGATTTCGTAACCATCCTTCTTTTCCTTCTAATGAGTTAGCACCTAATGGTTGATTAACCATTTGGAACTTTCGACTGCAGATTAGGGACTCCATTCGTGCTCTATTCCCTGACAGAGAATGCTTCCCCCTTGTGCGGCCTCTGAGCAATGAAAATGAGCTTCAACGGCTAGATCAAATTCCAGTCGGTGCTTAATTTTCTCGCACATGTTCCATTCCCTACTATCTTAGATTATATCTGAATTGTGATTCTGGTTGTGGAAACCTTGAAATATTCTAATTGTGGTAGCAATTTTCACATGCAGTTGGAAAACATGAGGCCAGAGTTTAAAGCAGGTCTTGATGCTTTGACAAGATTTGTTTTTGAGAGGACAAGACCCAAGCAAGTTGGAGCAACTATTATGACTGGACCGCTCTTTGCTCGCATAACTCAGTCCTTCCTGGATGCTCTTAACAATGGTGCAGTGCCCACCATTACCTCTTCATGGCAGGTTAGCAATGATCTTAATGGCAGATATAGTGTTATTTCCTTTCTTTTATTCCACATCATTGATTGATGTTCTTCTCTATATCTGTGCAAATGGCGTGTCCAAGAGCAATGTTATTCTTGTCATCACTAACACCTTTGAACCAGAAGAGTGACAAATAAGAAACCACTGATTATTGTTTCATGATTATTTCTCAATCATTAGCTAGATTGACATTTTAGCACCAAGAAAGTGGCCCTGAACGAAAGGAACAAAGACAAATATCAGGTAGATCTTTTAACACACCTAACCTTAGCCCTAAATGTAGAATTCTCAGAAACCAAGTTTTAGAATAAGAGTTGCCGGCCCTCTCCTGTAAAGGTCGGTTATTTCATAACGAGGACACAGCGCCATTGAGATACTATTTATTTATTCGAACATGATCTTTTAACGCACCTAACCTTAGCCCTAAATAGAATTCGCAGAGACCAAGTTTCAGAAAAATAGTTGCAGGTCCTCTCCTGTTAAAGTCGGTTATTTCATAACGAGGACACAAAGCCATCAGAATATTTTGATTACTATGAAGAAGATATTTTACCAAATGAAGTCAAGATCAGCCAAAAGTTGATCCATAGTTCCAGATTAAATATAAAAAAGAGTATTCATCTAACTTAACATCACACGTCAATAAAATATCTCAAGTTAAGTGTTTGATTTGGGACGCTACTCCTTGTCCTTCTTCTCTTCTTCGATTTACATTGAGTTTGTTCTTAGCCGTCTTGTGAATTTGGAATTTAATTTTGTAATTTCTTGTTATTATATGAGATTTTCACTGTCTCTTTGTTTCATCATTATGGCTCAAATTATTAAGTCAGGGAACAACTGACACATTTGGTTCTGCTCAGTGTCCATTTTCAAGGGCATTAAGTCTAAAAATTAAAAAGTACATAATGAGGACATCAGTTGATGTCTGATGAGCGACATGCAAGTGTCCGATATCTGACATGACACTGATATGTAATCATACTATGGTGTCCGTGCTGGGAAAATTCTTCCATGTTATTTATTTACCTCGCTTTGTGCACAAGTGAATTAGTCATCTTCAGAATTTCTATGATATCCGCTATTCATTTTTCAATTTAAGAAAAAAGCAAGGGAAGGGAAATTCGATGCAAGTGAAACAACATGACAAACCTACAAGTGAATGATTTTGGTAGAATCTTATGGTTGTTGTTAAACTCCCAAGTCCAAGTGTTACTGTGTTAGTTCATTCCGTATATCCAGCTCATGCATTATAATGCATGCTGATGGATGTTTTCCTTTTTGATTTCTGCAGAGTGTTGAGGAAGCTGAGTGTCAAAGGGCATACGATTCGGCTGCTGAGAGATACATGTCTTCATTTGATCGTTCCAAGCCTCCGGAGGAAGTAAGTATTACTTTAGTTTCATTGATAACATTTTCTGGTTGTGTCTAATATTTCAATCATTACAGGGTGCACTAAGAGAAGCACATGAAGATGCAGCTCAAAAGGCCATGGCAGAATTTAATTCTACTGCTGTGGGTGCTGGATCCATCAGGATGAAATATGAGAAGCGTCTTCAAAATTTCATAAAAAAAGCGTTTGAGGTTAAGTTTTTCCTCCACCCTTTACTTCAAATATTGAGGATAAAGTGCATATGAGTGATATAAGCATACATGAGTGTGTCATAATACAGCCCCTATTGGAGGATGAGCTAATACTAATTTTTATTTTGATTCCACACCATACTTACCCCCTAAAATACTAAAAGGAAATTTGGTATGCTAGAAAGTTCACAAATAACCATTTTTATGACTGCTATTTGAAAATTAAGTCATAGCTCCAAAACTAATTGGAATTTAGGCACTTTATTATGCGGAAATAATATTTGGACAAAACTACCCTCAACTTTAAAAAGCAGCTGAGACCAGCTATTCCATCTTTTCTACTTTTTTTGAACTCCATGACAAGGTCCTGGAGTTCTACTTGTACAAGTTTGAAATCCAGGACACTGCTGAATTTATGCAAATCAGTGGATTTCCTTTATGTGGAGGTTTTCATCTATAAAAGTGGATTTCTCTTGCAACCATGGAGGGTATTTTCTGTTTTTCATATAATGGCAGAACCTATTTTGCACAGAAGTCAAGCCTTAGAGGTTTCATTTGATCTTTTTGTTTTTTGATAGGTAATGTTAAGATATTTTTATTGGAAAACCCAACATTAGGACATCTGATCTTCATTTTGAATTTGTGAAAAAAAAAAGAGAAAGACGAGAGAAATAAATGAATTAGTGAAAGATACATTCAAGACTTCTCTAGATAGTAAGGAAAAGTTCCTACTTAACAGGGTTCTTAATAATTAATCTGTACAATTGTTCTGCATTTTTTGGAAGTGTACAGTTATGTTGCTTAGGCTGTGTATTCTCATTACTTTAAATTTGGAATGGTGAAATACTCTAGTAAATCTCAATATTGAGTTTCAGTCAATTGCCTGGTTACGAAGTTATTATTGCTTCTTTCTTTGTACAAGTGACCTGTGGAATAAGGATCATAATTCTCTCCATTTACAACTCTTTTCTCTGCCAACCAGGTGATAATTGAGTCAAAGTTTAGACATGTGTGTTAATGCCTGTGTGTTTGATCTTTTTGTTTCTTCCTAGACTAGTGCCTGTTCTTGTGTAGTATCGGTTCTGTTCTTTTCAGTCTTATATCAGTACATGGGCCCCACCTGCCCGCATGATATTGACTATATATTATATGGACCGGCCCATTGACATTCTGTCTGGTATCCAACTAAAGGTCTATGGTCCATCAAATGGAATGACTTTTCAATCTAGATAGTTTTGTCAGGATGTTTATGGGTGTGAGTATCTACTCTATGCTACTGAATAGCTCTTCCTAATCTCTGATTCGGTTTTCATGTTGATAACAGGAGCTTAAAAAGGATGCCTTTAGGGAGGCTTATCTACAATGTTCAAATGCCATACAGGACATGGAAAAGGAACTGAGGTTGGCTTGCCATGCTCCCGATGCAAATATAGATAGTGTGCTTAAGGTAAGCCCTTATTCACTGTAGATAATCGCCTATTTTTAGGTGGCTAAACTGGAATTCAGGTTTCTTTGTCAAAAAAAAAAACTGGAATTCAGGTTTTTTGAGTTACCAATGTCCTAAATGCATATGCTATATGCAGGTTCTTGATCGTCTAGTGTCCAAGTATGAAGCAACTTGTCAGGGTCCTGAGAAATGGAGAAAATTGATCGTCTTCTTACAACAAAGGTTTGTATATTAATAATTCTTTATTGAGGCACTTAGAATTGGAAATGTATATGTCACATCACATCACATTGATTTTCCAGCTTGGAAGGTCCACTTTTTGATCTCATCAAGAAGCAAACAGACCGACTTGGATCGGAGAAAACTAGTCTTGCATTAAAGTGCCGCTCCATTGAGGATAAGATGAACTTACTTAACAAACAACTGGAAGCTAGTGAGAAGTATAAATCCGAATATTTGAAGCGTTATGAAGACGCCATCAACGACAAGAAACAGCTTGCAGATGATTACACGAGTCGTATCACAAATTTGCAGAGTAAATATAGTTCATTGGAAGAGAGATATTCAAGCTTATCAAAAACACTCACTTCAGCTAAACATGAGTCCTCAGAATGGAAAAGAAAATATGAACAACTTCTGTTGAAGCAGAAGGCTAATGACGACCAATCAAGTGCAGAAGTATCTGTTCTGAAGTCCAGAACTGCTGCCGCTGAAGCAAGGCTGGCTGCTGCCAAAGAGCAAGCTGAATCGGCTCAAGAGGAGGCGGAGGAGTGGAAACGCAAATATGACATTGCCGTCAAGGAAGTTAAGAATGCTCTTGAGAAGGCAGCATCTGTTCAAGAGCGCGCAAACAAGGAAACTCAATTGAGAGAAGATGCTTTAAGGGATGAATTTTCAAGCGCTCTGGCTGATAAGGTGATTATATTGCTATGCATATTGATTAAATTTAAAAGTGCTGCTTTGTTTCATTTTTCTTCTCTTCCCTTTTAGAAATATCATTTTGTGATTCTGCTTGTTTAGTTTTCCAATATGATATTTGAAGTTCTCTTTGTTCATGAAACTGCAGGAAGAAGAAATTAAAGACAAGACATATAAGCTTGAGCAGGCTGAGCAGCGTTTAGCAACACTGACTTTGGAGTTGAGGGTGAGTTTCTGCTCTTTGTAAACCAACTTAACTTTTATTTGCACTGATCTTGGATTGAAAAAAGGTGAGGGTGGGATGGAGCAAAGTAATGGGAAAAAACAGGGAGGGAGGGGGAGGGACACTCTTTGTTATTTTAAAGTAGGCTCTATGGAAAGAGGATTCAAACGCGGTGCACTATAAAATAAGACCAATAGAGACTTCATATGGGACCATTTGAACTGCAGGTTGTAATGCTCGTAGTGTTTTTTGTTTTCTTGAGCTTGTGATGTTTTTTGTGTTGGTCCTCTGAAGTAGCTTTAGCATTTGCAGTGCTGACTTTCACTTGGCGGTTAAATTACTTCAGTTACATGTCCTCAAAAAAACTTCAGTTATGTGTAACCTTGTGAATTGAAAGGATAGTTTGCTATCAACTTTTGGGATTGATACCAACTTGTCTCTAATACAATTGGGTATCCAGGGTGTAAAACTATGAATATTTACACTCATTATGTATGTGGTAATTTAAGAGATTTACATGGGTATTAGTGCTAATGACTGCCCTAATGGAGCTAGATGGATACATAGGATTCATGTAGCCGAATCCAACTAGTTTGGGATTGAGACACTCTTTATTGATTGTAATAGTACTATTCAGTATTCACTATTCTATTCTTACCATTATAAAAAACAAAGAGAGTAATACTATTTGACTGTTTTGTGATTATTACTTCTTACAGACTGCTGATTCAAAGGTAAGGAACTATGGTCTAGAAGTGTCAGCCTTAAAGGTTGAAATCAAGGAATTGGGTGAAAGGCTAGAGCATATAAATGCTACTGCACAATCATTTGAAAGAGAAGCTAAGATTTTGGAACAGGAGAAGGTTCATCTGGAGCAGAAGTACCGGTCAGAGTTTGATAGATTTGAGGATGTTCAGGATAGATATAAATCAGCTGAAAGAGAGGCAAAAAGGGCGACTGAGCTGGCTGATAAAGCAAGGGCTGAAGCAGCTGCGGCCCTGAAAGAGAAGAATGAAATTCAACGGTTAGCTATGGAAAGATTAGCTCAGATTGAGAAGGCTGACAGAGCTATTGAAAAGTTAGAGAGGGAAAGAGAAGACTTGGCTGATGAAGTAGGGAGGTATCATCGTGCTGAGAAGGATGCAAGGTCAAAAGTTGCAATGCTGGAGGCCCGAGTAGAAGAAAGGGAAAAGGAAATTGAGATGCTACTGAAATCAAATAATGAACAAAGGGCCAGTACTGTGCAAGTCCTTGAAAGTCTGTTGGAGACTGAGCGTGCAGCGCGGTCTGAAGCAACCAATAGGGCGGAAGCACTCTCTCTTCAGTTGCAAGCTACGCAAGGAAAGCTAGATCTTCTTCAACAACAGTTAACTGCAGTTCGGCTGAATGAAACTGCACTGGATAGCAAACTTAGAACTGCTTCCCATGGCAAACGTGCCAGGATAGATGAATACGAAGCTGGAATTGAATCTGTCCATGACATGGATACAAATGATAGACCAATCAGAGGAAATAAGAGGTCCAAGAGTACAACCAGTCCCTTAAAGTATACCTCCCCAGAAGATGGAGGTTCTGTATTCAGAGGAGATGATGATGGTCATAGTCAACAAACAAATGGTGAAGATTATACGAAGTTTACAGTGCAGAAACTAAAGCAGGAGCTTACAAAGCATAACTTTGGTGCTGAACTGCTCCAACTGAAGAACGCAAACAAGAAGGATATCCTAGCTTTGTATGAGAAATGCGTCCTCCAGAAATCATAGCTTTCAGCATGCCGAGTTGTGTAGAAAGGTTGTAAGTATCTCAGTTATAGTCAAAAGCATACAACTTCTGGATTAAAAATTTAGGTGTTGGCATCCTGAAAACATCCTTTTAAGTCCTATAGGGCTTATATCCCCATTAGGTAGCTACACAATCTTGCTAAATGCTGCTGCCGCCATCGGGGTTTTCGTGTGACATAATATTTTTCATTCTGGTGTGCACTCTAACTTAGGTATTTTGTTTGAGCCTTCCTAGTGTGGCAGTGTTAGGAAGATGGTTTAGAGAGATTTTGAAAGTGAGATTTCCAGACCTCCCTTATCGTCTCTTTCTTTCTCCATTTGTGCAGTTATTGATGTTTAGTACTTAATCCTCGTGTGATTAGTAGTATTAGTATTCTCTTGATTTGCTAAAATTGACAAGTGAAGTAGTTATTTAATATTTCCTCCATTCACTTTTACTTGTCACGTTTTGTTTCCTGAGAAGTTTTTGTAGTCAATAAATGTTGTGTTATATTTAAGATCATAAATTTTAAAATGTCTCGTTTTTAAGAATTTAAACTTAATGTATAGTTATAAACTATGTTTCATAAATTGAAACGGAATGAGTATTCAATTTCCCCCTTAAACAAGAGTGGATGTACAATATGAGTTAAGAGTTTAGTTAAATTCAGTAGTTTTGGTTCAAATGTTATGTGAAGAAATTTATCAAATATATACAAATATTAAGCAAAACTATTTATGTATTTATTTCTTTATGTTATAAGATCTTATATATATTTCCCTTACTCTATATATAAGAATATTTGGTATCTTAGTCGATTCTCTGTATAAGATCTTTTTATTTATTTCCATCTTAGTTATGTTTTCTTAGTTTAATTTGAATCCTCTTTCTATATATCGACTCCAAATTGAAAAAAAAAGACCAAATTATTTTTCGAAATCATTATTTGACAAGTAGTTCAATAATATTTCGAATTCATATAATTTAAATTTTAGACCCGTCTTTTCCTCTTCACAATTATGTAAATTGTAGGACATACAATTATTTAAGGACTTTTCAATATTATTCAAAGGTAAGCGACAAGCTTCCCGATTATTTTTTTATACTACAAGTATAGTCTTATTTATCAATATTTGGTATCTATTGATCCGTCTGAAAAAAAATAAAAGTGATTAAGAAATGACAAGCTATGAAAAGTGGGAGTACTATATTCTCCATTCATTTTTCTGGTTCGGTTTTGATTTTGCACGCTTCTTAAAAAATATAATTAATATGAGAATTTTATTATAGTATCCATATTAATTATGTTTAAAATAAGGTCTTAAAAAATGATTTGACAAATAAGTAATTAATGTTAAGGATTAAACATGAAAAAGATACTCCTAATAAGTAATTTTTTTTCTTGATATGTTAAAAATGACAGGTAAAATTAAAAATCTATTTTTAAAATAATGAACAAATAAAAATAAACGAAGAGAGTACATTATATTATACTATACAAGAGACAATCAAAGAGACATAACAAATTAAAGGGGGTCCATTAACAATTAAGATAAGTTAACTGCATTCCGTCCTATGAGAGGATCGATAGAATTTCTTCACTCTTAATTTGAAATTTTTGAATATTAGATATGAAAAATATAACGTGAGAAATTATGTTGCAAGTCCATTTCCCTTAAATGAGCCACGTGGCGTGAATCTAAATTCATCGAGAGTTCTTCTTCGCTTTTCCATTAAATGCGCCTTATGTAATACGAATCCTAATTAGTTGGGACACCATAGGAAAAAAATATGTTATAAGTCCCTCTTCTTTAAATGAGCCTATTTATGTGACACAAATATAATTAGTTGGGAGCACTTCTCGATTTCTTAAATGTGTCTTATGTGATGGAAAATCAAATTAGTCAGATCCTTAATACAAAAAAAAAATCATGTTAGAAGGCTTTTTTTCCTTAAATGGGTCTATGCATTGCAAATCTGAATCAATCGGGATCACTTCTCCATTATATATCACAATTCTAAATTAAATTAACCTATGTGACGTAAATTTAAATTAATTGAACGACAAATATACAAGTACAGAACACTAATAGAAACATAAAGAAAATTAGCATTCCTTGGTCCACAAGAAAAATAACAACAATAAATCAATTACACACTTTGTCCTATATATTGACAAATTTATACTGTAACAAATATCTCCATAATTTGATTATTTCTTTCCCCTCAACAACATTCCATAATATTAAGGCACTACTAGCAATACAAGATGCAAAGTCAAAGTCCATAAAAATTATTTACAAATTCTTAACTCAAATGAACAACAACAAAAAATAATCAAAGATTCAATAATGTTTTGTATATATAAACTGTTAACATTTTTCAAACATAAATTCCACCTAAGCATGACAATAATGTTTTGTTGACTTAAAACTTATAATAATCCAACTTCTAAGCTATTCAAAATATTAGCAACTTGTACAATTGATGGCCTACTTTTTCTTGAATTTCCAACACAAGCTAATGCAACTTTAGCTAATCTAACAAGTGGCCTAATATCACTAGGCAACATAAGTCTATTGTCCAAAAATTCACCAAATTTCATTTCTTTAATCAATGGCAATGCCCATTTCACAAGTAAACTTTCTTGATCACATTTCCTTCCACTCAACAACTCCAACAAAACAACACCTAATCCATACACATCACTTTCTTTAGAACAACCCCTTTTTTCATTACCAATCCAATATTCATCATCAACATATCCCATTAACCCTAATTCCCTTTTATCATAACATGTCAAGAAAAAATACAAACCATAGTCACAAACCCTAGCACAAAAATTGACATCTATTAATATATTCGAGGGTTTAATGCAACCATGCACTATATGTGGTGCCATAACTTCGTGTAAATATTCTATTCCTCTAGCTATACCAGCAGCAACTCTCAACCTACAATTCCAATCTAATAAGGACGTCCCACCACTACCAGCACCACCATCATGATCGCGATTTTGATGTAAGTAGAAATCAAGACTCAACATACCTCCAAATTCTGTTACCACGATTCTTTCCCCAGGAGCCTCAGAAAACCCTAAAATTGGCACAATGTTAGGGTGATAAGCTAAAGAAAGCCATTTCATCATCGATGTGAAACCAAAGCCAGCATTACTCAATACAAGCCTAGGATGGATCCTTTTTATAGCTACTTGTTGATCTCCATTTGGTAATATACCTACATATACACTTCCTATACGTCCTTGACCGATGATTCTTCGATAATTGAATCCATCCGTAGCTCCATGAATGTCCATTAATGAATAGGAACATGCAATTTGCTTTGTTGGAAGAGTTTCTTCAGCCTTGATTGGCTTTTTCTTGCAACAAATGAAGAGTAGGATAACAAGACATATGATGATAATTGCAAGTATAGCCAAAATAACATTATAAATAATTATGATCTCTCCACCACTCATCTATAAGATTTTTTTTCTATATATTTGGTGTTGTTGTGATTTAAGTTGAGAGTATTTAGAAGAAAAAAAATTGGCTAGTTTATAGAGAATGAAGTGAGAGTATATATATATTTTTTAATGTTTTATATATATAATAAAATGGAAGTAGAAAGAGAAAAAAAAGTGGAGTATTTTATTGGACCTTTGGTGTGTACTCTTTGAAAAAAAGAAAAGTTGATTTGGTACTCCCTCTATCCATTTTATGTGGCATCGTTTGACTTAGCACGATATTTAAGAAATTAAATAAAAAAAGATTTTTTAAATTCGTAGTCTAAAACAATCATTAGATATTTTTTGTGTGGCTGTAAATTATTTCATTAAAAATAAAAAAATAATTTTAAAATAAAATTATTTTTAACTATAGTAAGATGATACTCTTTTTGAAATGGATTAAAAAGAGAGTGCGCTATGAGTGAGAGAGTATCATAATTGGGAAAGAAAGTTGAAAAAATCTAAAGGATTAATTTGGCATACTTTTAGTTGAGGGTTGGCTGCTAACTGTCATTTGACAAAAGTATAGGGTGTTTGGCAAAATTTCTAATTGTGAAAACAAATCTATTCTTGTAAAATAGACATTTTTTTAATATTCAATAGTCAAAATTTACTTGCTTAATAATTTAAGTATGCGTTAGTTAGATCCTATTGAAAGAGGAAGCGTTATACTAATAATTTTTCTATTTTAGGATTCAAATTCAGAGTTTCTAATGAACATAAAAATTAGGATATTATTTTGTTTTTATAATTGTTTCATAAGATCATTATGAACATTATATTTTCTTAGTTATATTCTTATTCTATGCCTAAAAAGGTTAAGTATTAATATTTTCTTAGTTTTATCATATTCTTTAAAATTTCCTACTATTTGAAAAATTACAATCCCTACTCTCTTCTATTATACATCACTTTATGCGATGTATAGGTCGGATACATCACTTTACGTGATGTATCGAGACGTTGAGTGATGTATCCAAAATCGTGACGCAATTCATCTAGACGCTGAGCTACGATGTATCTGAAACCGGGACGCTATGTATTGGGACTTTTTGGGATGTATCCGGATTTCACCAAATTTAAGGGATTTTTGCAATTTGAAAAAGAATAGGAACTAGATGTAATTAGCTCTTAACACTATAAAATTTGTGTAAAATTCTCATATAATTAATATTATTATTTTTTACAGTAAAACTCTTTTGGAAAAATAATTTTCCCAACTTTAAGTTTCAATGTGTTCAATTTTTTCAACGGGTACAAAAGTTTGATAAAATCCTATCTCATTATAAGAAAAGGTCACTCTTGCCTCTTATTAATTAGCAAAAAAAAAAGTCATGGTTTTGATGTTACCTTTCTCTTTTTCTTTTTTCTTTTTTCTTTTTCCTTTTCTAATTGAATTTGCATCTGTTATTTTTCAAAAAGAAAAAGCAAGCATCAATAATCATGATAGCAAAATGTTAAACTATGGTCTTGGATTCTTTTTATTTTTCCTCCAGTATTCGATATTCATATTAGTGCCCTAATTAATTTAAATTTGCACAACGTAACACCTTAAGAAGAAATTTCCTATATTTGTAGAAATAGAGTTCAGTTGCCATGTTTTGGCCTTGTCTTTAAGAAATAACCAATGTCATGGAGTTTCAAATCTCCAGATAAAATTTAATGCATGGTAACAACAACTATATTTCAATTACGTACATAGGCCAAAAGGTATCTACTTGTCCTTTTTCTGTTATTTTTTTAATATCTCAAATTCGAAAATTCTAATTAAAATTGAAGGGATATTATCCATTCTACTGCAATCCTAAATGTTAGCTAGAACATCATTTCCCGCTTTATTTATTTATTGTGACAACTCCTTGTTTCCTAACCTATTATAGCTTTTTGGGGCCAATTTTTTGGTTTCTTTTTGGCTCTTGAGTCTTAGTTATAAGAATTTAGTT